CTTGTTTGTCCTAGATTTGATTCCAAACGCTGAATCTCCTCACTTGCATTTTTAAATTTCTCTCTCAATTCCTCAACTTGTCCCTGTAATACTCTATCTCCCTTTTCCGCCTGATTTGCATGCATACCCATTTCCAGTTCCAAATTCTGCAATCCCTTCTTTATATTATTTTTTATAATGGTAATTTTTTCCTCATAATCCTGAGTTTGCCTTTTAACACTTTCTACCTCCCTAACAATCTCTTTATTCTGCTTATTAACTTCTTTGTTTATTTCCATTGGTAAATTCTCTTTAATGGCTGTTCCCAACTCTACAAATCTGCTCCCAATTTCCTGTCCTATTTCCGCTCTAATTATGGCCTTTTCTCTGGATATCTCCTCCTGTACATTCCTCTTAAAATTCTCACTTTCTCCTCTGACCTGTTCTACTTTCTCTTCTAAACCTTGGGTAATTTGTAGCATCTCTTCCCTGACTATCTTCACTTCTTCTTTGATTTCTTCCCTCATTTTAATTAACTCTTCCCTAAGTTCTCCTTTAATATTATTTTCCATTTTGTTCATATCCCCCCTAATATTGTTAATATTACTATCCATTTTGTGCATATCTCCCCTAATATTATGATCCATCTGTTGTAACATCCGCATTATTTGCCTCATATCCATCTGTGTCATCCCTGACTCTCCAACATCTCCTTCCCTACGTCTCTCCTCCTGCACTCTACATTCATCCACACTTTCATCACGTCTATCTCTCACTGTCTCATCCAACTCCTCTCTCAAACTATCTGTTAGACTTCCCTCTCTATCACCTTGTCCTGCTTCTTGTCTGCCTTGCTCTAAATATTGTACTACAAATTCTCCTGATCCTCCTCTGCTTTCTTCATCTACCTGTATACCCTGTTCCTGTTCTAACACCTGTTCTCCTTCACTCTCTTTCGGTACGATTTCTTTTCCATTTCTTAAAGTCATTCGGTCTGCCATTTTATCCTAATCTCTATTTATTCTCAAATTTAACTTTAACTACCCCAGAATCTCTACAACTCTAATCACACCAATTTGTTTTTATTTTAATCTGTGTATTATTAATAAATCTGCTTAAAAAATACACCCTTATTTCTGTTTTCCCAGAGGCTCCACGTTGTTAGCGCCAATTGTAATAGTTTTGTTTTTATTATTTTTATGTTTTATTGTTAATAAATATAATTTTAATTGAATTGAAGTGAATTTTAAAAGTATGTAGTTCGTTGTTAATATACTATACCTCGGCTAGCTCAATTATTTGTTCTAAGCAATCTGTCACTGTGTGACGTCAACTCTGTAGTCTCCTGGTAGAGTTCAAAAAGAAATTAAACCAAAATTTACTTTATATTTTTGATAAATTAACCCAAATGAAGCACGTTATTTATTAATATTGAACAAATTTAATATAAACAATAAAATTCGTCTGCAACTTGGGTTGCCTTTAAAAATTTACAAAAATAGGAATCGTGTAAACCTTAATGTGTCGTGAAAATAGAATTTGATTACAAAATGTGGAAACTCTCTACAATTACCTTAAATCTAAATGACTATTGCAACTTTATAAAGTGTTTAAATGAAATATAAAGAAAAGAAAACTGAACACTTTATGCCGCTGACTTATAACTAGCATTAAAATATAATCAAAATTTCAAATGATCCCCAAAATTATTATCCAAACTCACTTTCAAACAGTTCTGATTTTTTTTTTTTAAAGAAAACTAACTACTCGCAAAATAATCGGTGATACTGGAATATCTATCCTCTCTTCGGAAGTTAAAGGTACGTACTATTATATTTTTATTTTAATGATCATTAATATTTCAATTTTTAAGGCCTATCGCAATTAGTTAATTCATGAATTTTTACTTTTTCAATCTAAATGACATTTCTGCACTCCAATTATAATTTATAAGTCAAAATTTCTCTTACTCTCTGGAACAAATTCTGGATATCTCTATTTGAAAATGTGGAAAAACTAAATTATAATTAAACGATTTTAAAGCACTCCCGGACTATTCCACCTTTTTAGGGCTCTTCCTCCAAAATTTTCGTCGCCTCCAACAACCTATTCTTCCTTGTTAACCGCCATAGCTAGCACCAACCACCAAAATTATTCGTTGCTAACAGCAACCCCCTTTCTTTTTTCATTCCGTCTTCTATTTTATTCAACCATAAAACTGTCCTGTTTTGACATATTTGTCAAACCACATTAATTTCTCATAAGCACTTTAATCACATCTAATTTGGGAATTTATAAAAAAAAATTCAGATATAAAACTTAACAATACTAATATAATTTATTCTTTTCATCTCCACATCATTGTAATTTATTTAACAAAACCCCTATTAATTTAGTTCCCACAGACTTTTGACAGTTTATTTTTCTGACGTTTATTTTTAAATTTCTATGTTTAAATAATTTTTTAAGAATTCTTCTTTTTTATTCCTTTTAAGGTTTAGACGATTCACCTATACACTAG